GATAGAATTATTGAGATTAAAATAATAAACCCAACACTAGGATTAGAAGATGATGCTGCTCCCCCAGGGAGAATGAGACAAAAAGTTGCCCTCCAAATGGAGACTCAAAGGGACCACTGGACCCGGGGACTGATTTCTATCTTTTTATTAAAGAAGCCATGATGGTCAAATAAGGAATGATATGGGCAGAAGGAAAGAATGGACAGTATTTCCTGAAAGGCTTGGGGAGTCTGCTCCGTCCTGAACTTGGCAGCTAAGCTGGTGTCCCATAATCTTCTCCCTCTTTTGGGAGGGAGGCTGGTTATAGTTCTTCTAGTCAAGAAGCCCTGTGTCCCATAAAGAGATTCTCTGCCTATTTTTAAACTCCTCCCCCGGACATAGTATTTTTCTGATTAGAAAAATTTGCCCAATTTTTTCCAACTAGTTTATCTGGTTAATTATTTATTTGTTATTTCCTCTAAGATGAAGAACATTTATTAATCAAAGAAAATCTTCTAGGACCAGGATGTCCTTGGAACTTCGGGAAACTCTGGAATTCCTCATAACTAGCTGGGCTGAGCAGACGTTGACATCCGGAAGCTGCTGCCCATCCCCCTTGAGAGTCCTGGCAAGGATTCACTTCCATGATCTCCCTTTTGAGTGGGAGCAAAGAAACACATCGAGTGAGAGAGGGAATCAGGCCGATTAATTCTTTACAACAAGGTTTTATTTATTTATTTTCTTTGACCCCCACCCAAAAAAAAAACAACGAACAATTAAAGTTGTTCATCTTTCTTTTATTTTTAATGGTTTTCCTTTTGGATCCAAACGAGCATTTATATTACAGGATATCCACCTGGTTAACATGCAGTGCTGAACTCTGGCTTTGGGAGAGATGCACCAATACCGTGGGCAGTCCAGCACTGGCTGCCATTCCAACACGGTCACTGAAGGGGCGTCAGGCTGGCACACCACAGTGGATGCTGCCTGTAAGGAAGTGTCTCGAGTGCCTTGACTCACACGTGTTTTGTAATGCAGGTGGCAGCATTTTAAAAGCCTAAGGAAGATGACCCAGTTTCCCTCTTGGTCCCATCTGATGTGCTCATCCTCTAAGAGCAAACCAAGCAGGGGGAATGGCCTGCCCTTGGGTCCCAAAGGACGGAGGGCATGGCCTGGGCACCCTGTTGTCCACTTCCTTGCAGTGTTATCTTTTGAGGCTAGTGCACCATGTGGAGTTTGAAATCTATTCCTGATAAAGCTTATCTCCTGTCCCGCTAAGTGCCTCTCCTCCCTCTCTCCTCCTATGGTGCTTGTGCCACTAGGAAGATCAATGAAATCTCTCCACTACTGGCACTACTATATTGAAGAGCTGTTAGTTAAAGTCATCGAGATTGTCTTCAGGCTGCTTGAAAGCAAGAACCTCCTTTCTCTCCATCTCCCAAGTCTGGAAATTTTTTTTCAGGGCTCTATTAATCTTCTGAGGCCTTCAAATCCACTACCTAGAGTGGAAAGAACCCCTCTGCCCCCGATATCATGCTAACAAGTTGACCCATGATCTGGCATAAATGAGGATCCCAGGTCACACTCCTCTAAGCCTTCCTCTACCTGGGACCAGCTGGTATTTCTCACCTTAGCCTTGTCTTTGTCCTAGAGCTTGTTTTCCCCACCTCTACCCCACTCGTCCCAGCTATGAAATGCCCTGCACACTTAGTGCTTTAGATTTTTCTCCTCTGTTTGTTTTTCTGGGTGAGTTCCCAATCTTGGACTCAGTTTGAGTGGAGATGGACGGCTCTCTAATGTCACCAAGAAGGAGGTTCCTCTGCAATCACAGCACTTAGGGTGGCTTTGTATAAATTTTGGTTGGTCACAAAACCCCAGGGTAGAAAAACACTGACTGAAGTTTGGCCTGCAGGCTAAGTATATATCTCCATGGGTAGCCATTAAAATATAATACCTATGTTTTTACTAAAGCTGTTGGGATCTGCTTAATGCTACCTAGCTCCATATCAAATGTAACTAAGACCAGGACTACAGTATACTTTAATTGGCAGTTAGATTACCTTGTTTAGCCCTCATTTCCTATTACTTTTATTTTTTTTTAAATTGGTTAATGGCACTTTGAAGCTTTGCAGTGTGTTTTTCCTGCTCATCTCTTATCAAGATTTCTAATAGATTTTGAGTGGTGGTTCTTCTGTGTTACAGGCCATCACTAGAAGAAATTAGAGGACTGGAAGGAAAACTGAGTCACCAAATAAGGTCAAATGTGAACCTGGCAGTTTTGACTGATTTAGTCTCCTTGCAGTTTGGGGGTCCCCCTCTGAGTGAACCAAGAAGGAAGTGGTACTGCCTGGTACACATTCTCGGATCTGGTCCAGAACATAGAGAATAATCCATCCTTATCTCTGACAAGCTGGCAGAAGAGAGAGAGAAAGACCCACGCAGATTTCCAATGCTGAGTAGGAGAAGGGGTCTCAGGGAGGATCGTACGTGTTAGCTTGTGAGCATTGGATCTAAGACTGGTTCAGTGTCCACAAAGGAGATGCTGGAGTGGGAAGCTCTGAGCATGGACACTCAACTGCCTTCCTGGATTCAAAAAAGAAAGTCTGGATTTTTGTTGTTGTTGTTGTTAGCAAGCTAAGAAGAAGAGGAAGGGAAAAGGGGAAAACTAGAGGGTGAAATTAAAGTAACTCCTGGATTCAGGATCCATTAAACATGAAGTTGCTTCCAAAAAAAATAAAAAATGCTTACAGCAATGCCAAGAATGTCATAGGTCCTAAATGGGATATAGGGAGTGAAGATTTTTCTAAACTGATTTCTGGAGACTTAAGTGCTTTATTTAAATGATGAGTTAGTGACTTACTTGCAAACACTTGACACACCCGTGAACTAGCCAAGCATTAGTATTTTAATTTTCCTAATAAGGGAAAGAAAGTAGAGAGAGGCGATACCCTGCTGAAGGCACAAGTTAGTACAGAAGGCGGGGATAGATTTTATTATTTTTGACTTTCAATAATTTTCATTTACCAAATTACTACACCCTTTTTAAAATTTTTTATCTTTTCATCAAGACATAAATTTTGTATTTATTGGTTAAAGATGTCCTAGAAAAATTCTGTATCCATTCTATTATTTCCTTGGCTTTTCCTATGTTTTCAGAGTTTTTCAGTCTTCTAGATAATATGTTAAGTCCCTAAAAGGAGAAGAGACAGAGAAATGAGAGACAGAAGCTGACTTAGAAGGAGAAAGAAGATAAAAAGGAAACCAGAGAGAGAAAATAGAGCTGGTACTGTGTAACCTCAGATTTTGGACTTAAATATCACATCATTAAATTGGACAGAAATTAATTCCTAAAGAGAAGCTAATTCAGAAATAATGCAGAGCACACATTTACCCTTCTTTGCTGTTCTAGAGCAGGTCTCTTACCAAAAAGTGCAACTAACCAAAAAACACTCCCATAAATCCCCTTATCTCTTTTTACCTGATCTACTCAACTCTTTCAAACCCCAAGAAATAAGAATTCAGGGACCTCCCTCGTGGTCCAGTGGTTAAGACTTCGCCTTCCAATGCAGGGGGTGTGGGTTCGATCCCTGGTCGGGGAGCTAAGATCCCACCTGCCTCAGGGCCAAAAAACCAAAACATAAAACAGAATCAATATTGTAACAAATTCAATAAAGACTTTAAAAATGGTCCACATCAAAAATAAAATCAATCTCAATAATATATTTACATCACAGCATGACTTATTATAAAATCTCTTCTTGCATTTAGAAGGTCAAGATACCAGCCCCCCTATTTTTAGCATGGGGGGGAGGAAGTAAGACTATAAAAATAGAAGCGCGGTCTGGGGACACCCCAGCCTCACCAGCAATGTGATAGGATCTCCTCTGAGTCCCATTCTTGCTTCTTAACTAACTGGCTTGAATTTTAAGAGCAGCTTTTCAGGCCCTTGGGTAGGTTGGGACAATCTATGAATCAGTTATCTTTGGCTTGGAGTGATCTCTCTGGGATGCATAGGCCTCAGAGGCTCAAAGCAGAAGGGACTCAAGAAAAAGACGGCCATCAGAAACCAAAGACGGTTCTTTCCCTTCCTAGTCTTTTCTGCCCCCGAGTGGTACATCTATATCACTGACGGGGTGAGTTGTAGCACACGGCAGCTGACAATCGCCCCAGCAAGCTGCAGCTGAGCCTCTGCCACTAGAGCCAGCAGAGAAACCACTGGCTGCTGCTCTGTTGGGTTAGACTTGCCTATGATGACTGGGTGGCTCAGAGAGGAGGAAACAAACATCAGAAAGACAACACTCCTGACAGAGGCAGTGTTTATCAACGTGGGATCTCCTCTGATCGCCTCATGAAAATGTTAGGTCGCAACTCCTGAGTTAATCTCGTTTGGCTTTTGTTAAAATAAGAGTCTCAGTGTGGATATATAGTTATCCAAACCGGGACCTGATTCCTTATGGGGCTCCTGTCTGGAGTTAAACCATCATGCCCTGACTGGCCACTTTCAGGGGGCCACTGTCCTCCTTTCCTACAGCATAAAGTCCTCTTCCGAAATTCCTGGGAAGTGCTCAATGCTCTGGAACCCAGAGGGGGAAGGACAGACAGGATGGGTGAGAAGCAAGTGAGGAAGAATCTACCCCAAGGCATGGGGACGCCTCTCTTCACCCTGATTCTCTGCATACACTGGCACTGGGACTTTAAGATCTCAAACATAAGAGACATGAAACTGATAAAAATAGCAGTGAACGTTCCTTAACCTTCTCATAAAATCTCAGCAAAGTAGGTGACTTTCTGCTCCCCTCCTGTTACACATGCACCCCTTTTTCAATACAACCTCATAAGATGTATTATAGCTGAGCTTAGAAATTAAAGAATCTCTCAACTTATCCCTGGCTTGACCCACTAAAGAAATATTCTGTCCAAAAACGAGACATCTAGAGCAGGCTTTAGAAATAAGGATGTAATGAAAAATTGAGAACTTTCTTAAAGCATCAAAGTTATTCAATTTTGTTCCATTACTCCAGGAGAGACCTGATTTCCCTACGATGGGCTTTCATCGAGTATGTGGACGATTCATACACACCAGCAAGAGTTCTGCACGTTAGACTATCTCAGATCATCAAGTAACACCAGGTGAGTCCCCGACTGTATTTCATGAGGCTCAAGCATGCCCTAACGGCAGAGAGCCCAGCAGAGTCAGGCAGGTCGGCAGGTAAGCTTGGACTGGGTGGACTTAACCATCTCAGGAGTTGGGTCATTACTAACATGTGGCAAAACAAGGGCTGGGATGGGAGGACAGAGGGCGCCCAGGCTCATCACAAAGCCTATGTGAAGGAGGATATGTGTGGAGGATGCGTGCTGGCCGAGTGGTGGAACATGGGGTCTTCTCTTTGTGGTGGCAGAGTCAAGGGAAGGCAAAACCAGAAGATCTGGAGCTCAGCTTCAGAGAACTGGTATCAGTGATTTCGGTACCTCATAGAAACACTGAATGGGGAGAAGTGAAACCCAGATTAGAAATAGATTCCTCAGCTAGAAAAACACACAGCCCCACATTGGGCAGCTGTGTTCACGGCTCATGTTGAGCCTGGGGGACCCCCCAAGGATACCGTCCCGTCACGGTGTAGGTAAGTCTATCCTGACCCTGGCTCACAGGGCACCTTGGCCTAGAGCTCTACCCCCTTGTCTGAAGGCCTGCTGGCACTCTGCCCCCTTGGTGACTGAGACAGGCAGAGGGACACACACATGCGTACACGGAAAGAGAGATGAATTCCCCACCAGAAGTCTGTCTGGAGCCTTAAGTGAAAAGAGGAGTATCTAAACACAAACCTAGTTAGAACATCTCTCTGCCTTGGTTTCTTTTCTTTTCCTTCTCCTTCCTTCTTTTTCCCTTCCTCTCCCCACTACCTCCCTCTTTCTTATTCTGAGGGGATCCTGGAGACTCATACTGGCAAGGGAAACTGGACATACAGCTAAAGATTCTTCTGAGGGGACCTACGGTGCTGAGTTTGATCACGCTGTGTATCTCAAACACTGGTGGTGGTTCTGTTTTGCTTGGAATTTCTCAAGATGCTGCCATACTTTTTAATCCAAAGAGAAGCACAGGTTTTGAGATTTAAAGGTGTGTGTGTGGGGGCTCTTTTCAAGGGAAAGAGGCAGAATCTGACACCTAGGAGTGGATCTCCAGGTTGCCTACTGGGGGAAGGTTAGGGTTCATATTTATTCAGAGGTGGAAGGAAATCATTGCAAGATTATGCTAATGCGTTCCGTGACTTCATAGAAAATTGTCTTTTATTATCTGGTCTTAATAGAAGGGTCAACGCAGGCTAAGGGATTAGAAACCTGATTTCTTGGTCAGGGGGAGATGAATTAAAGAGATGAGTTCGTAAGTTCATGGGTACTACAAAAGCCCAAGGAGTTGGTCAGGGGCCTGCATCTACGGTGCAGTATGCCACTTTATTCAGGACTCAAGTGCTTGTGTGGATGTGAGTTTAAGGAGTTCAGATGTCCAGGAAGGTTTCCTGGCACAGCAAATCGAGCGTCTGTAATGTTGCTTGCAGGCAAATCCCACTTCTGCTAATGGCTCTGCCAGCCTCAGTGCCTCCTGTTGCAATGTTGTAAGACGTCACTTCAACACCCATTCTCAAAGCACAATGCAATAGACTCGCTGGTGCAGAATGGCCGTCCTGTGTCAGCCTTTCCCTCAGGAAAGCTGCATTTCCGAGGTGGAAGAAAGCAATTTTGTGCGAAGCAGCCCATAGCAGCACTTTGGCAGGAAAGGACACCGAGCAGGGGAAACCTTTAAGACAGTACAAGGCCCCGAGTCTGAGTCTCAGGTAACAATCCCACCTGTTAGGATCAGGGTGTTACGGAGTCACACTCCCAGTTACCCCTGAGCACACACGTGTGCTGAGTGGGAGAGGAAAGGGAAAAAAGACGAGGGTTTCAGAGTGGGAGGCCTACGTCTCTGCCTCACTGGTCTCCTGCCCCAGGACTGCTTTGGTTTGGGGGCTGACTCTGGGCCGTGAAGCTCCATCCATGTCTAGGACAGAAGGCAGGGCCATCACAAATGATTTTGCAGCCACAGGGTTGAATCTGGCTTTGCAGAGCTGATACGACGATGCCTTATTTCTATTTCCACAACAACAACAAAACAAAAAAACCCAAGTTCGTAATAACAGCCACTGACTGCTCCTACCCAAGACGTGAAGTCTGCCTGGGCCGGAGGAGAATACAGAGTGTTTATCCGCTGCGATCTCAGTTGGGGGCCTCTGAGTCGCCCCATGGAGGGTCCCGGGAGGCAGGTTTCATCTGCTCCTGGCTGGGAGAGGAGGGCCCTGCCTGGTACCCCCTGCAGGAAATCCTTCCACCTAACGGTGATGGTGCTGGAGGACTGGAGAGGGACATGAGGGGGTGATGTGTTTCCACCGAATGGATAATCGATACAGTGAAGGAGAACTGATCAGCTAAGAAAGGGCTCTCTTCTTCTCAGTGCTTATGAGTTTTGGGGGGTTAGGAACAATGTCCTGAGGTGGTCTTCTGCTCAGCTCTACTTTAGGGATGGGGAAAGCCCAGGGGAATATTCAGGACCACCGGGGCCCCAGGCCTGTCACCTTGTGTACTGAGGCCCCACTGGAGCCTGCTTTGCTAGAAGGAGCAGCCCAGGTCTAAGCTGAGGTATATTTACTCATCACTTTAAAGTATCCTGACAAACTGACCCTCAATCACAAACTGGCTGTGGAGGCTGCCCGTCAAGGGTCCCTGCCTCACGGGAGCTCCTCAGTAAACTCAGAGGGACTCTCTCATTGAAGCTTCTCTGGTTGCAATCTGTTGGCCTTTCTCATCTCTACGGAAGAAGTCCCTACCAGGTGATGTGTAGCTCACCTTGGATATGTGTGTGCTGCCCTCTTGGGGAGTGGCTGGGAAGGCTAGGCCACTGGCACTTGGGCTCACTGGCCTTGGCGCGGCACTGGCCTTGCTGCTTGGCAAAGAGGTCTTCTGCTCCTGGCTCAGAGTCTGGGCTGACTTTCAGCCGGTATGTGCTGGGCCGGCAGCAGCACCGATCCACATACTGAATTACCTCTATACTGGTTGGAAAACTGACTCTGCCTGAGCCCCTTAAGTGCCCCCCTGCCACACTCAGCCCCCCCTCGGGGCTCCCCCGTGCCTGGCATCTCCCGGGCTAAGTAAGGCCTGTCGCGGCATGGGGTGCCAGCGCTAAGGCCGGACTCCACTCATCACCTAGTGCCCTGGTCACACGGGTTGTTAAATACTTTGAAAACATCACCCTTACCAGAGCCTTCGGCACCTCCCTGGCCTATTCTAAACGAACACAGCACCCACTGAGTGGGTGACAGGCCTCAGACGGGACTGTAGCGACCAGCAGCAGCAGCTCTCTGCTCCTTTGCCCCCTCCGCTATGGTGAGGGCTGCCGGACTATGGCTTTGCTCACCCAGACCAGCTCTGGCTGCTGCCACCACAGCGCCCCGACCCCTTCCCCTTCCCCTTCCCCTTTCTCCTCCCTCTCTGCCTCCTACCCTTGACATCCAATGCTCCTGAACTCAGCCTGTGCTTCCTCTGGGGACGCAAGCCACAGGATAACGCATGAGATGCCGTCATGGTTGGCCTGGTGGCAGGGGTGCTGGCTGAGGAGGAAGGGCTGGTGAGGGAGGAGAGTCCTCTCCCAGGGTCTCCATGACTCCCCAGTTAAGAGCCAGAACGTCTTCCAGGCTTCTCAGGGCAACAGGCATAGCCACAGGCCGGCCTGACATCCCCACGGCTATAGAAAAGTGGGAAGGGGCAAGGGGAAGCAAAGCCATCCTTGTGTCCCTTCTCCCCTGGGAATAACCCTCCATGTTCTTGTATATTCCTTCCCCAGCAAAGAGGCAGAACTATGGCAGTGCCCATCTTGCCAAGGGACATACAGCGATTGGGTGGGTTTGACCAGTTTTCCTTCTGTCCTTTCCTTCCTCTTCTCTGATAATGCACGGTGTCCTTCTATCTTCTTCCTCCCTCTTCCTCCCCCCCGGGCCGCACTGGCTTCCCAATTGGGGTCTTGGTTTTCTCCGTGTTGAGAGAAGAGCATGCATCGGAGGGGGGAGCGGCCTCTAGCATTTGTCGTCTTCCTCCGTATCGCTCAGAAGGTCGCTGACAGCTCCACACGTCATGCCTGGTCCAGGCCCCCCGTGCCTCCGCCGCCGATAGTGCCCATTGGGCATCTGCCAGCTGTGCCGCAGGGGCGGGGCTGAGCCGATGGTGTTGGACCGGCCGAGGCTGGTCGCCACAGCTGCTTCAAAGGTGAGCGTCTCCTCCTCGCCACAGTCCGAGGCGTGGGAGTCTTCGTGCAGGGCCAGGTAGGGCTCAGAGATGTAGCGCTGTGGGGAGGAGGGGTGGCCCTGCTGTACGTACCGGGGGTCGCAAGACTCGGGCAGGCTGGCGTCATTGCCCTCCAGAGCTTGGGAGGTCAGTGGGGAGCCACCCTCGCTCCCATCAGCAGGTGGGGAGATGCTCCCAGTGTGTCTCATCAGGGAGCTGTAGGAAAGGAGGGGCCGAGGCTTTGGAGGGACAGGTGGGAGCTGCCGACGACTTCGTCTTGGGGTGCTGGTGTCGGAGACGGAGGGGATGGAGCTTTCACTGAGGGACCCTGTGCCCTGTGCGGCAGGAAAAACATGGCATGTTAGCCTGGGTTTGGCATCATTCCTACTTGGGACCCGGTTAAGGTCCCTAACCCCTCCTACAGAGAGCCACCAGAGTCCCCTCTGCTACCAGTCACATCCGCTCAGGGACGCAGAGATTACAGGAGACTCAGGAGCCAGTACCATGGAGACCAGGGTATGTCAACTTTCAGTATGCTTATGCATCTCTGGGGTCTTGTTAAACTGCAGACGCAGCTCAGAAAGTCTGGGGTGGGGCCTGAGATCCTGCATTTCTAACAAGCTCACAGGTGCTGCCGGTCCTTGGAACAAACACGTTGAGTAGCAAAGATCCGGAAGCTCACTCTCTCTAGCACGTGGCACGTTGAAAGAAAGATCTGAAGCTTCTGGGAAAGACAACTACATGAAAGGTAAACGAATGCTCTAGAGTTGCTCTGTCTGGGGAACGTTCTTGGGAATCGGATCTAAGGGCATGGCAAATACCTTCCCTCATCTTCTCTTTTTGCATCTGTGTTTTCAGTGGCGTGCTAAGACTAACTTGGCTTCTACACCCCCCCCCCCCCCCCCGCTTATCTGCTGGTTCAGGCCTGACACACCTAGTCCCAAGGGTCTCTGAGCCCAGGGGTTGGTACATGGACCTCCAGCTCGGTGTTGAGGCTTAAGGTGTGCGTGTAACCTAGGAACCACATGCTCAAGATCTCCTGGGAGATTCTGGGGTCCTTCCAAGTGCAGACTTCTGGGTTCTACTTTACAGCGGGTCTCACTACTGAAGCAGAAGCCTTGAGGTCCCAGTAATGTGCACTTATAACAAGCCCTAGGTGACTCCGTTCTGCACTAAAACTCGACACCACTGCTCTAGAAGTAAACTTCTCAACTGCGTCTGAAAGTTGGCTGTGGAAGCCCTTCCTCTTGCCCACTGCTCACTGCCGATGGGTCTCACATCTGGACTCCGAGAGTATTGGAGCAAGGTAGGGCAGGGAGTGAGGGATGGTAGTCAGGAGGAAAACAGGGCCAGAGAGTGTTTTCACACAGCTCTCGTAGCTGTATCTTAGACCTAGGCTGACGTTTCAGTAACTGGCCGGAAGGAGAGATGCTCTTCCTCTTGGGATGGCTGGAAGCTAGATAGATGAAGTTGAATTGATCTGACTTTTGAATCCTGTGTTGAGAGAGGAATCACCATTCCAACCAATACTAAGGGTCACACGACTGGTCAAAGCTTTTCTGGCTAAAAAACCATCCTTTCCTCTGAAATCTGCCTGAGATATTTATGAACTTATTTGTTGTGACTTTGTAACTCTGGATACTGAGAACGAAGATGGAATGACCCCTAGACACCATTGTCTTTCTTGGGGGGCTCTTTGGTTTTCTGTGAATCCATATCATTTCTGAGTACACAAGTGTTAAGTAAAAAGCTAACCTCTATGCACAATGGATGCAGTTTCCTGTGAAGCTGAGGTCTGTGTGGGTGCTGGATGCCCACATTTTGCACCTCATGTTAACAGCCCGCCCCTCCCTGTCTTCTGCAGAGGCTCAGCTTCCTCTCCATGCTCACCGGTCTGTTGGGGGTCTGCGACCTGCACTCGCTGGGAGACCGGGACTGATGACGTTCTGGGGACTCCCAGTCGGCCTGGGTCCCTCGCTCCTCGGAGTTGCAGCGGGAGACATCGGGAGAGAGAAGATGCTTTCGCTCTTTCGATCGTCCCCGCTCTCTGCCCCCTGAGCGGTGGGTGTCAGACTTGTGCCCTATGAGAGATGACAGAAGCAACTATCGTAACTCTGCCCATCCTGGCCGCTGAACACAAAGATAAGTCTTACAGCTTGGGACCAGGCCCCTCAAGGACCCTGGCTTCTGCAGACATGTCAACAGGTGATCTGAAAGGGAAGAAGGAGAGAAAGACTGGAAAATTACCCTTTTGTGAAGAGGTAAGTGTGCAAGCTGCCACTGGGAAGACTTGCAAATTCAAGGATACAATCACTCTCTCCTTCCATTTACGCTATAGACACAATTCAGGTAGAATCTCTGCCAGCCACGTGGCCCAAGAATCCTCTATGTCCTAAACGTGGGTGTGTAACTTTTTAGAGGGAAAATGGCACTAGCAGAAGGGAATTAAGAAGTTGCTATGAACAAAGGAAACACAGTTACTGTAATGCCCTAGGACTGAAGTCAAAGGATTTCCCTTCTAGTCCCCTCTCTGCCACTTGCTGGCCCTATGATATGGGACATGTCACTGCTTTTTTATCTTTGTTTCTTCACTTAGTAAAAATAGTTTGAACCAGACGAGTGATTTTCTCTTTCTATCAATATGACCCTTTTCCTTAAAAAACATAACTCAAATGCATAAAACAATTCCAGGTAGCACTGTCTGGGTCAAAGTGCAGTTAGTGGGTAAAGCTCCGCCCTTGCCAGGGGGTCTCTAATGCTTCCCTAAGGCAGTGGAGTGGTTTTGTAGAAGGCCCTTGGGAAAACTCTGTTTTAATGATTTTTATAGCCCTGGTCTGGAAGAAAGAAATCTCATCAGCCTCTGTGATGACTAGAGAGGGTTTTGTTGCTTTGTTTCACGATGTGAGTCAGACAGGAAACGCCCTTCCTTAAGGAGCATTGTTCCTTCTCTCTCAGCAACCCCATCTTTATCTAGATTCTGTTCCTGTGACTTTCAGTTCTCATCAGAAAAGAGGCAAACGGTGAAGACTCCCTCACCTGAGTCAGAGTTCAGGCGGTGGGCTGACAGCCTCAGGGAGGAGTGGTAACTCCGGCGACGCGACTTGTAGGTGTTTTCGCTGCTTCGCTCCATGGAGAATTCCTCCAGCCAAGAGGAATTTGAACGCTTTTCCCGAATAGTGGAAAATGAACGTCTCATGGAGCTAGGGTCTGTCACCACCTGGAAACATGAGCCCCCCAGAAGAACACAAGGTATGGATTAATTACTGAAATGGTCTAGAAGGAAGGAAGATGTAGGACTGAGATTGTTGAAGATTGCAAATTGTCATCTCCCATAAATCCCTTTTGCTCAGACCTTAGCTGGAGGAGGCTGTTCCAGAAAGTGTCTTTACGTTAACATAGTCACTGGGCTGGTGCAGAGCTCCTCTTCACGCTCAGGAAAGCAAGGAGCTGAGGGTCCTGTGCAAGCTGCCCATAGAACCATCTACCCTGGAGACCCAGCCAGGACCTGCCGTGAACCTGGAGCCGCTTTGAAACAAGTGAGGGCAACTGTCAAAAAGTCTCCACCACGAAAGAAGCATGGCCTTGCCGCTTGTTTTTTGCCCTCCTCAGAGAAGGCGCCACCCTATAGCGCTAGAGCTTAGGAGAGCTTGTAAATGAGTAGCTCCTGAGAATGCACTGCGCTCTCTCGATCAGTCCCACCCCAGCTCCACCTTAAACTCTGGCATTTTGACTTGCCACAGATGTTAAAACAGATCCACAAAAACTTCTTGTCTCTGTCAAAACTTGATGTAAGACAGACAGACAGAAAAAAGCCAGGAAAACAGACAAAGAAATGAGGCGTGGCCTGCACTGGTTAGGACAGACAGTCCTGACACAGAGCTGTGTGTGTACGTAACTGCATATGCGCTAGAGGAACCAGGAAAGGAGAAAAGAAGGAAAAATGCACAGGGGAAATCCTGGAAGATATTTCTTGCATGGCTGGTTGGGTCTTGAGGATGTTGAGCCCATCCGGGGGCCTGCCCTTTGGCTGGCTAGGCTGTTGTGGTTAGGGTTTCATTGGAAACACAGTGTGGAGGAGCAGGCTCTGTAGAGAAAGCCCATGAGCCAGGTTTTGCTTATAGAGAAGGGGTGGGGGCAAATCAAGGGCTCACCTGAAAATATCAGATGTGTGTTCATAACCCACCAATTCAATACAGCCCAGGATGCCACTGCATATGGTAGGTGGTGGTTGCGTTTTACCTGGGGATCCACAGTCAGGCGTGGCATAGAGGATGCCCTCCCAGATCCCGCATGCTCCTGGGTGTCCGAAGGAATGTAGATGCCATGGTTAGAGGGCTGCACGCTTTTTAATTCACTAACCTCTGGCTCCTAGAAATAAACACACAGCCAAGCTTGTGGGACTTGATTCCATCCCATTGCTTCTCACTTCCGGGGGATGATTCTGCCTCCTCCATGTGAAGAGCGGCTTTCAGAAGAGGCACTTGCATCTCTAAGGTCTCAGTTGTACGTGTATATATGTTTGTGTCTGTGTGTGCACATATGTGGTATACCAGATGTCCCAAACAGAAAGCTCTAACTAGGATTGAGGGATAAGGATCACCTTTTCTAGTTAGTTATCACTGAGCAATGCTTCAGATTTTATAGCTTTGTGAAATTTACCTTCTGCATGTTGACAGTATGGGGTTTATTCTTGTAATCTGAAGAAGCCATTTGTCAATTAAACAGAAGCCACTATTTTAAGGAAAGTCACCAACTTCTGGTGTCAGGTTTATCTTCTGAAACCTTAAGACACGTGATTTTAAGAGCTTTCTTATGATTGAAACCATCCAATAATGGGGGTGGGTAGCCATCTTTCAGGAATGCTTTGGACTAGTGCAGTCTAATAGAAATTTAATGCAAACCACTTATGTCATTTAAAATTTCCTAGTAATTACATTTTAAAAAGTAAAAAGAAACATGAAATTTAATAATAGATTTTATGTAACCCAATATATCCAAATATTCTCATGGCAACATGTAATCAATATAAAAAATTAACGAGATATTTTACATTTTTAGGTACCAAGTCTTTGACATTGGTATGTATTTTACACCTATGGCGCATCTCAATTTGGACTAGTCACATTTCAGGTGCTCAATTACCGTATGTGGGCAGTGGCTACTGTATTGGACTATGAGAGCACTCGAGAGCTTTAAGAAGGTTGGATGGGAGATCTTTAGGGTCGTGCCCAAATCAATCATTTAATTTTCCTGGTTAAAGAATGTTAGTTTGGCAAATGTACGTGCTCTGTATAGACAGCTAGTGTTCATTGCGCAAAGAGTAGAGCTGCTTTAAAAATGTTTACGTGGGCCACCCAACAAAGAGACCTAGGAATATCTTAGACATCTGGAGATTATACCAGAAAAAAAGCATTTTACATTTAGGAAATGAAACCTAAAAACATGGGTTTATGAGTAGGGTATTATTAAAGGAAAGGGGGCCTGAGACACCCCCTTGGCCTCAATGACCATTTGGCTGAGCGGTTCCTGGTATGAACAGGAGGACTGCCTTCACAGGATATGATGTGTGCACCTGAAGAAGTTACAGTGTTTGTTTGCAGTATGTGCTTTATATAGCACCCAGGTCTGACTCAAAACAGATGTGACAACACTGCAGTCTACGTGGTAACAACAACTGCAGCCAACGGGTATCAGAGGTGGTGCAAGACACGCCCACACACACAAATCATGGCCATGTCCCAGGACGTTGAGCAGGGAGCCCCAAAGGATGGGCAGGAGTACACAGTGGTGGGTGTATAGCATGGGCTGACACCTGAATTGAATTACAGACACCAGTATTGACAATGAGATGAACATATATCCAAGAAGTCCTGGCACTACAGCTCAGCCCTGGGAAACCTGCAGAAAGGGTGATGTAATAAAGCCTCCCTGTGAAAGAAAGGACACGTCATTGAGATTTTTCTCACCAGACAGACACATCACCAGGCAGGCCATAAAATGATGAGAGGCCCTTTTTAGAATTAAACTATCTGTACCAATTAGTCCCTTTTCCCCCCTGAAGGGTACCCATTCCATCAGACATGCCCTCCACAAGCAGGCCACACCCACACTCCGCCCACACATCCATTCAGGAAGGCGCTGGGGTACACTAACAGTGGGGAGGGGTCAGGGAAAAAAATGAAGGGGAGAGAAGAACACAGGTGAATTAGAATCAAAGTGACATGGGACTCACTTAATACAAGCTGTCTATATAGACTACTGCAAAGGTTGGGTTTTACTCTTTTTCTTTCCAGACCAATAACCACCTGGATTTTAATTCTAAGCTCCAGAGGGAACTTGATCTCATGGCTCCTGAGCTAATAGTAAAGTCCATCATCTCTGGGAGTCCCATTTTAGCTTTGTATTATCAAAATCTAAAGTTCCATCTGTCATCCATTGGTGCCATCCATTCTTATGATGATTCATTCTAAGGCTCCCTCTCAAAGGCAAGATTTCATCTGTCACTTCTGCTTCTCCATTTGATGCCCAGGGGCGTAAATTAAGAGGGCTTGGCCTGAAGCACTGTAAGTTCCTGAAGCAGGTAAGGAGCCTCTGGGATTGTAAAACCTGAAGAGGGAGCATTTGTCAAAGAACATGAGAAACTCAGCTATGAAAGGCGAGACGGCAGGAAACTTTCAGGGTAATTGGTTGGACTATCAGAAAGGTTTTTTTTCTGATGGAGCAAGGCTATGGAATAAAATTTGAAAATGAGAGGGGGAGGGATCAGGAAACCAAGGAAGTATTTTTGAGGTCATGTAACTCATTCATTCACCAGAGATTGCTGTTCCTGGAATTGTCCATCATCAGCTGGGTCCATACAGGCCAACTGGAATATTTCCTGCGGGGAGAGTGGACTCATCGAAGGGTATCCACTCCGGCCACCCCTGCAAAGCAATGCCAAGTTCAGAGGTAATGTGTGCATGAGAGAAAGAGAAACAGTCATGACGTAGTTGTCATTGCCAATTCCCACCCAGACAAGACTTCCTCCCCAGCAAGGGCAATACCCTTTAGCCTTGGCTGGCTTGCAAGCCTGATAACTTACAGGTGGCTGGCCCTAGAATAGAAAAATTTTTTTAAAAAGCATTGGAAAAGAGGAACCCCTGTTTTCAACCTGCATTTGGAACCATTCATCATTTTGCTGGCGACTAGCATATCTGTGGCAAATGACATCATTTGTCACACTCAGCCATATGGAAGACCAATGCTAGATTGTAAACCTGTTTCTGCTCAGTTTCTCCATTCGGCAGGAAAATGCCATAGTTTAAAGTGAACAGTTTGTTTAAATATTAAGCAGTCATGGTCTTTTAAAAAATTTCCTCCACTCTCAGGAAGAATATGGTTTTATTGTGCCAACATCCCTGGCCAAACCAAACAATTCAATGCCATGAACATTTATTGAAGGACTGCTCTGTACCAGACACTGCTGGTGTATGAACTGCATGGAACGATTTCAGAAGAGGTGAAAGAGGTGACAACGTCTGGGTCGATGGCTATGTGGGAGGATGCTTCAATGGTGATGAGGTAAAAAAGGACGGGGGCAGAGTTGGCCAGGTGTTTAGGGGCCTCTGAATGAAAAGCATGGAGAGCTGTTGCAGTGTGCCTGTTATTAAACCACGGTTTGGTACCTGAAAGACACCCTCAGCCTATGGGATCCACTGGGCTGGTTAGGAAAAAAAAAGAGGCAGCCAATCTTTCTTTCCTGAGAACTTGGCGCTGCTGCTGCCACTCATTGCTACTAGTACAGTAACAGCTCCTCTTTGACCTAAGCCAGCACGCAGACTGAGCTTCCTGATCACGGGAAGAGGAAAGTGGTCAGTGACTGGGGCAGCAGCTCCCTCAGTGGGTGTGGGATTAGGAGGGAGAGATGGGACACCGTCTCTGCCAGTGTCCCATCTGCTCCGGAGAGAGCCACTGCAGAGTCTCCTGCTAATGACTGTGAAGCCAGTGGAAAATCCGAGACCTAAGCAAGGATTGCCAGTTACTGAAAAATAATCCACTAGGCTGGGATCATAGGGGAAAATCTGAAGCACAGACTTTTCACCCAACCTGTCCCCTCGCTGCTAGTGAGGGCTTTAGCTGAATTTTTACAACTGCTAGAGAGCAGTCTGCTATTTAAACGACTGCTTAAATGTCAACCATCTTCTGTGTGCCTTGGCCTGAGAACCATGGGAAACAAGATAAGCACTGCTCTACAGGAAATGGGCCCCCTTTTGTCCTACAGAAAATGAGCAACTCCAGGATCCCCAATAGGTAGATAGGACACTTAAAAGCACTGAACAACCTTATAGACTTGAAGAATTTGAACCCTGAGTAACCTCTTACTTTGAAAACCTTGTCTGGCTTCTCACTGTTATTAGGAGAGAGTCCAGAGGCCTCTTTCATGACCCACTTCCTACCTGGCCACCCTCCTCTTGCATTACTTTCCCTTATTCCCTGAATTCCAACATGCTGGGCTCTCTCAGTTGGTTGAATGTGCCAGGCTTCTTTCTGCCTCAGGACTTGAATAAAGGCTGTTCCCCAGAGTGCAGGATGCTTCTCAAACACCCGGTCCCTCGCAAACTCGTTTTTGAATTCATCCCTCAAAACTCTTCTTAAAAGTCACTTCCTTAAGGAAACCTTACCTGATAAACTCGTCAGAGGTCTCTCTCACACGCAATCAGATCATAATGTATTTTTTTCCCATCCTAGCGCTCACCAGAGCTGTGATTAAATCATCAAAAATGACAAGTGTTTTTTTTTCTGATAATCTGTTTCATGTTTGTTTTTCTACCAGCTGTAAGCTCAATGGGAGAGGAGCCCTGTCATGTCCACCACGCTACCTCCAAAGCAATACTCTACTTGAACAATTCAGGGCTCTAGAAACACAGATGGTTCCAAAGAACCAGGCTGCTGCTCCACCAGCATCTCCGTTTCAGGAAATGGACCAACATCCACCTAGAAGCTCAAACCAGAAACCCGAGGGTCATCTTGGATTCCTCCCTGTCCTTCACACCATGTAGCAAATCAATCAATCAATCACCAAATCCTCTCCGTTCTGTGTATTAATTGCCTCTCAAGTCTGATTCTCTCTCCCCATTTCTATCCTGTTAGTCCAAGCCACAGTCTCACAATATTCACAATTGCAGCCACGTACTAAATGGTGTTCTATCTCTCGAACTGCTTCCCTCCAATCCACGGAGCCCACACTGGATTAGAGAATGATCTTTGGAAAGCCCAAACCTGATCATGTCACCCTGATGATCGTGTCACCCATTATCCTTGGATGACACTAAACTTCTGTATCCTGCCTGTAAACTACCTCTGTATCCCTACATCCTGGCCCCTCCAAATCCATCACCTGCCACGTCCCCTGATATCTCTGTGCTCCAACCATCGTGACAGTTCTTAGGTTCCTTAAACTTACCATACTTTATTTCACCTCTTGAATTGCCTGCTTTTTTGAGTCTCACTCAGATGTTACTTCCTCAGGGAAGCTTCCTCAAAGCCTCAAACTACGTGAGTTGCCTCCTTTACACAGAGTCACGATAGCCTACCCTTCCACATTTTAACCTTTATCACTCCTCTTGTAATTTCTTTTTTAAGAACTGTGTCCATGGGGACTGTGTGATCATCTTGACTGAATCCCCAGTGTCTGAGCCAGTTTTTGGGTCACACCGACTCTCAGTAAATACTGGTCAAATCAATGAGTGAATGAATTAATAAACATATGGGACAGAGGCTGGAATAGTCCAATGATGGGAGTTAATTTGCACAGCAAATTGTTGTGGCTAAAACAGATCTAGATGGTGGAGGGTGTCCTCTATTTCTAAGCCAAAGAAGACCCTTGAAAAACACTGTAAACTCTTCCAAGGAGGTAGTCCTAGTACTCTAATCATACCTCCTGACCACCTTCCTGCACAGACCAAAGATAAACATGTACTTGTTTTTTTGTAGACAGGAGAATCCATACCTGCTACTTTAACACCTCACATGTTTTGTAAAAATGACCGACGGCCTTGGTCGTTTTTTTTTCTTTTCCAAATGCGTTGGATTGTGACCTTTGAAAACAATGCTTTTCAAAAACAGGTCTCCAACACCACAGGCAGAAAGAAATTTATGGCGTGAGAGATTCCAAATGGTATTCTGACTGAGGGCTCATTCCTAAGCCTGGGATTTCACTCCTCTGACAATTACTGAAGTTGTGATATTTAGTGATTTACTGGTTCCACGAGAGCTAGACTGGAAAAAAGTCACTAATCATAACCAACGACAGCAAGCCATTTACGCTGGGTAGAGGGACCATTTGGGTACATCACTGGTGATGAGAGAAAGAAAGCATTAAAATGAAGTATGTATATTACATTAGATCCTTTATGGCTAATGACCACATTGGGGCTAAGGCTTACAACTCGGAAGAATTGGCACATGCCTTAATTAGGGTTTCGTTTCCACTTTCAATATAGAAAATTAACAAAAAATTGTTTTGCCTGATTTAAGGTTCTTTTTGTTCATTACAGATAACACAGTGTAATGGGAAGACTCTGGGCTTGGAAATAACTGACTTAAATTCCAATTCAGCTTCCTACCAGCCATATGGCTTTGGGCCACTTAGTGAACCTCTCTGAGTTCACTCTAAAGTCATGATACTAATACAGCCCCTTACTTCCTTTGTCCATTCACAGTGCTCCCTGTCTCTGGAGCTGGCCATAGCACCAAACACGCTCAGTCTGCTTTTCCATTACCCCTGCTGAATAACCATCTTAAGATACAACATGTTGTCTTCTCACCCTCAGAGAGGGGACCATCCATGCATCTCAGCGTTAGTATTAGCTCGGGCACTTCCAGGCAATGAGTTTCTGGATCTGCCCGATGGCACACGTGATAATGCAATCAGGGGAGTCATGGACCCTCTGGTAATACTCACAGGCCTGAAACGGGGTCCTGCTGGAGATAAGGCAGGGCTTTGGCATTAGCAATGATCTCCTGAGGCAGAGATGACGGCTCCATCCGCTGGAACATGGGTGCGTTTTTCTGTGTTCAAAGTGGAAAGGAGGAAAAAGGAACTCAAATGACTGTGGGGGGAAAATACCATTTGAGTAAAACAGGAATATGACTGATACCCTGTTTGACTATCTGAACCTCTGCCCCACTGGTTTTCTAATCCCTTGATCCTAGGGAGGTTCCCGGACCCTGCAAAGCAAAGCCTGACCTCTGCTTCTAAGCACTTGCAGGGCACTGTGCCCCAGGGATGCACAGGCCTGTCCCTTCAGGGGCCCACCCAGCCACCACGCTGTCCTTGACCTTCACCTGTTCCTCCAGCTGCTGCCTCTGCTTCTTCACCTTGCTCTGTTTATAGTAGTCCATGATCATCATTGCTGCATAGATTTTGCCCACAGTCAGGTCAGAGGCTGAAGACACGAGTGTGGCATGGAGGGGAACAGGGAGAAGACACGGGGCGGGGGGGGGAAAGTGAGGACACCTAGGAAGCAGGTTTGCCCCTTCGGCCACCCACCCATCCAACATTTATTGAGGGTTCCATCTGTGCCAGGCACTGAGGCTACAGAGTGAACAGGTCCCCATGTCTAGCCTCAGGGAGCTTCCACGGCCACCCAGGGAGGCTGATGTTACCAATGATGTGCAACACATCAGTAAGCACCTCCCCACCCCCAGAATGGTCTAGGTTTCCATCTCTTAGTAACACCACCTTTTCCCCAACGGCTTGAAGGTTTGCTGAACTGTGTTATGTGGAAGGACAGAGCTACGTAGCCAAGAAGTTTCATCCACAACCACAGTGACCTATCTTAAGAAACTGTTCTCCAGTGTGGAGGCTCCTCAGAAAACTGAAACTAGAACTACCATGTGATCCGGCAATCCTACTCCTGGGCATATATCCAGACAAAACTCTAATTCAAAAAGATACACACACCTCAGTGCTCATAGCAGCACTATTCACAACAGCCAAGACACGGAAGCAACCTAAATGTCCATCAACAGATGAATGGATAAAGAAGCTGTGGTACATATATACAGTGGAATACTACTCGGCCATAAAAAAAGAACAAAATAATGCCATTTGCAGCAACAAGGATGCAACTAGAGATTATCATACTAAGTCAGAAAGAGACAAATAACATATGATGTCACTTATATGTGGACTCTAAAATATGGCACGAGATGGAAACAGACTCACGGACATAAAGAACAGACTCGCAGACATAAAGAACAGACTTGTGGTTGCCAAGGGGGAGGGAGGGTGGGGGAGGGAAGGATTGGGAGTTTGGGGTTAGTAGATGCAAACTATTACATATAGGATGGATAAACAGCAAGGTTAGTATAGCACAGGGAACTATATTCAATATCCTGGGATAAACCATAATGGAAAAGAATATAAAAAAGAATATATTTATGTATATAATTAAGTCACTTTGCTGTACAGCAGAAATTAACACAACATTGTAAATCAACTATACTTCAGTAAAAAAAAAAAAAACTGTTTTCAATTAATGACAAAAGGAACTTGAGAAGTGAGGGATTTTTGTTTCCTAAGAATAAAAGAGCACCCTTCCCTTATCTCCTCGATCATTCTGTGTTCCCCCCAAAGGTGTGGTCTTGGCGTGCTGGGCCCACAGTGACAAGGATACCCTGGAGGAGACCCCACACCTTTGGGCATGGGCACAAGCAGATCTAACATCTTCTGGGACAGGTGAGGCCAGATGGCCAGGGTCTCCTTCTGTAGCTCTGAGTCTAGCTGCTGCCTGTCCGCACCACCTAGGGGAAGATACATTTATTAATAGCGAAAACAGAACAGACACAGAAATAACAAGGACGGAGGGAGGAGGTGGGGCAGGAGCTGAGTCAGCATGGCACGTCACATTCTCAGAGGGGATCTTGGTACTTAGCGACAGCGGACCTTGCAATACTGGGTCTTTCTGCTGAAGAAGCAGAACACATTTTGGCTCCGTTTTCAGTGACTCAGGGGTATCCCGTCACAGAGAGCCGAGGCCCTGGGACCAAGGTCAGCCTCCTCATTCATTCACAGAGGCTCCCAGCTGCTCAGTATATCAGAGGGGGATGCAGAGAGCCACGAGCCAGCCTCCTCTGCCTTTATCCGTGTATCAGTTCTTCCAGCGATCTGACTCCAGAGTCTGAGTGACCTGATTTTTTTTTTTGCGGTTCGCGGGCCTCTCACTGTTGTGGCCTCTCCCGTTGCGGAGCACAGGCTCCGGACGCGCAGGCTCAGCGGCCATGGCTCACGGGCCCAGCGGCTCCGCGGCACGTGGGATCTTCCCGGACCGGGGCACGAACCCGTGTCCCCTGCATCGGCAGGCGGACTCCCAACCACTGCGCCACCAGGGAAGCCCGAGTGACCTGATTTTAAAAAGGATTTGGGTCAGGCAAGAGCAAGGAAGCTGGAGGCCCATTTGGAAGTAGTAAACCCTTTCTTTCCTAAACCACTGAATTAGAAATCAAAAGGAACAAAATACTGCCATGATAGCACCTGCCACAGAAGCCTTCCAAGTTGTTAAAGGCACCACATAAGGGAAAAAAAAAAAAAAAAGAAAAAGAAAAAAAAGAACTGAATTAAAACTCACTTGTTCAATCAACAAATATTTCTAAAATGCCTACTTTGTGCCAGACACCAAAGATCACATACTGTTGAAGTCAAAAGGAGGCTTAGTGATTATCAAACCATTCATTTCACCAAGAAGAAAGGGCAAATATAATAGTTATTGTAGCTCAGAGGTGAAACAGGGACCCTACTATCTGATCTCCAGGTCACTGCCTCACCAGATGGATGAAAGGTCAAACATTTCCATCCTGCGCCGCCCTGCGTGAGTTGTTTCAGAATCTTTTTCCCCCCTAAGCTTACTGACCTTTGGCGATTTTAATGTCCAGAGCTGTCCGGATCAGAGCCATAAGCGTGGATGTGAAGTGGACAGTCATGTCCTCAGCCACTGGCATATTCATCAGGACTAACCTCTGTGTGAAAGAGAGAAAAGAAACAGCAGGAGGAAAAAAATATATCGAGAGAAACCTTGGTGAGAAGGGAGGAAAAGTGCAGAGGTCAAATGCAGAGACAAAAAAGAAGGGCAAGGATACCCCCGTCCCCTGTCCCAGTCCTGCCCTCTCCCGGCTTCTCACTTAAGGCTCATTGGCTGCTGTTTTGTTTTGCTTTGTTCATTTCTAGGGAATGATGCCGAATTCCAAGGGAAGAGGGACTAATCATTCTGTAGGACTCCTCCACAGTCCTAAGAATGTCTTTAATAGGGATTCCTAAAAGCAGTGGCTCAGGGGAAGGAGTCAGCTCTGTGAGGTGACTCCATTCCCTGTTTCAGGGCTACTCTACAATTCCACTTGTCCCATGAATACCCCCCAAAACTCACATGGGGGAGATTGTGCTTTGCTTATCTGACTTGAAAGATGCATCCTGATGCCCCCTTTTTGAGTCTTTAAAAGATGAAATTTGCCAGCACATGGTTGAACATGCAGAAGTCCAGCTTATCCAAAAGATGAAGTGGAGCAGAATGGAAAAGTGGGAGAGTGCAAACAAGGTCTAGGGGAAGAGGGCTGGGGAGAGCAGAGAAGAGAAGGGTGACCAAGGCAGGAGCAGAGTGGGCAGGCCTTGTTCCCCTCACCCAAAGGAAGGGGATCAAACTGAAATGGCCAAATCCACTTTCCAGAGAGTATCTTGCTTTTGGAATTCTTTAACTTTTCCTCCAATCCCCACATCCCTTCTCCCACTGAGCTTCACCCCAGAAATTCAAAGAACTTAGGGCCACATTCCACCACCCGGTACCGTTAGATGTGGAATCGTGAGCAAAAAGGATGCCAGCCCCTAAGCTGCAATGGAGGAGCCATGTAATGGGGTGGATAAGGGTCCCTAATGGGCCCCCCCCCCATTCCAATGAGATGCTCTCTGGAGCTTTCAACTTGGAGGTAGCAGCAGGAGAAGGTCCTCCAACAGAACCACCAGCCTAGCAGGAAGGCAAGTGTTTCTTCCCAAGACAGGGTTTCTGAAACTCCATTGGAACATCTTCCTTAACGTGATGCCACAAACATGGTGTCTTAGAGTGTACGGCCAGTTTCTTGTTTGTATCTGACTTCCATCTCTCTCCCACTTCTTTAGGCTTCTAGAGAAGTGGTGACATTGCTAGGGTGTATTCCTAGGTGAATGAAAGAGCTCCAGAGTTCTGGGTCAGTCTAAACAGCAATGGGGAATTAGCAGTAACTATTATCCATTGTGGAGAAAAAGTTCAGGCCCCAAGGCTCTGAACACCCCAATGGCAGTTGACTCCCAATGCACAATGCTGTCCTAAGCAAGCCGAGAGGAGTCCACCCATAACTCAGTCATGCCAAGAAGGCAAATCTAATGCTGAATGCAACTTGTGTCCATCATCACCCTTTCCTTTGAATTGCCAGGAAAAACAGGTAGCTGGGCTAATGGGGAAGGGAGCTGCATCCTTCATCATATATCATGGGATGGAGGCTGCCGTTCCTCTTTCTTTTCTGGTACCTAGAAGGAACCATGCCATCGTTCCTCCCTACGTCATGGAGGAAGAAATTTGTTAGGAGTTTTCCTCTCTCCTAAAAATTTCTTCTTGAACCATGTTTAGAGGAATTTCTGCATTATTTCCTTAGCTTATCTGATTGATGCTTTTTTTTTTATAAGCTCTGATAGCTGTCTTGCTGCAGGCTTTCTTCTTGCACATATATGCTATCCCACAGCCCACCACTCTGCCTTCTCTAGAAGGAAACATGCTACTTAACACTTCCTTTCTAGTAACCCACTCACAAGAAGCCACACACTTGTAGAAACAGAATAACATTAAAAAAAAAACCCACGTTGAATAGTCTTACACACCACCTTGTGTATCGATTCAGGACTTCACCCCTTCTGTGAAGCTTCATGACCTTTTCATCTCATCATTCCTTTTTTCCTTGGTTCCCTCCTCTCCCTCCCCAGCCCGGCTTCCTCCCCACGTTCTGACCTCCCCACAGCTGGTGCCCATTTCCTGCTGGTCACTAGCCCAGAACAAAGGAAGAGGTGGTCTACCTTATATGCCACCTTGGAGGGACATCTCTTGCCGAGGCCTAGCGGTGGTGACATGAGAGTCAGCATTTCATACATCTCAGTGTAATGGATGCGGCCACTGCTCATGGCGGGGTGGTAAGTGGGGATGGGGGCAGGGTGGCAGGGCAGGGAGGGTGGCAGGGAAAGGATGCAGACAGGGAGGAGAGGAGACCAGGCATTCCCGGGGAGCCAAAACAAACAAACAAAAGAGTACAGAAAACAGGAGAAGAAAAACGAAACAAAATGGACAGACAGGAAAAGAACAGGAAACCCGTTAATCAAGGCAAGTCGTACACGTGTCTCCATCCTGGTGCGGATTTATAGCACACCCAACACAGACCCGGGAACGTGGTGGCAACCTTTGGTCTCTCTGCGCGGCTGTCACAGGGACCGGTTTTCTCCTCCAGGATGAGCATCACCCTACCTCTCTGTTCAACTCATCCATCCCCCATACAACACAAGCTTGTCTTCAATTCCCAGGGCTGTGTGAGAGTGGTATAAACCAGATAGACGGTGTTCCAGCCGTGGGTTAGGATTTCTGGCCCCGGCTGGGGACGGGGGTGCTGGCCTGGAAGTCAGGCCTTTCTCCTGCTCTGAACCCGCAGGCGGAGCATCGTGTATCCCCCTCTGTGGTGTGAGTGCAGCAGGAGACGGCGGCTCGCGCTGAAAGTGCTGCGCTATGGCTGCTGGGCAGAGTCGGCCCGTTGCTTCCACCTGGCTCTGGTGGCAAGAGTGCTCTTTGTGCCCCGGCATGCCCCGGGGGCGACGGCATGCTGGGGACAGAAGAAACAAAACCAGGAGGAGGAAGAGCATCTCGCATGCCATGCTGCCCTCCCCGGCTCTCCC